GAAATACTATTCTATGGGCTTTTAGGCCTTTATAGGATAGGACAGATGTAGAGAGACACCGAGTGGAGGATGACATGCATCAATCAGCGTAAGGAGCAGGAATCGAACCGCCCATATAGGTGCGGCAAGGACTGAAGCGTCTGTACATGAAGCGTCTGCTCTACAAACCGAGCTACATCAGCGCCCCACTCGTCACTCATTAAAGGAACAGACCTGATTTAAGGTGCAATCTTTTGAGCATCTCTGTGAGGGAAGATTAGAGAAGTCTTCTACCACTGCAGGGTCACTTTCAATTCACTCCAGATTTATGTGAATTTACATCGATGTTTCTTGTTGTCACGCATGGAGCACAAGAGGGAGAAAGAAAAATCCTCACTTTAGACATTTTTTATCAAAGCAATAATTTCTGCACACAACAACTCTGTCATATCTTGGACTTTTATCAAACTGTAACCACAAAGTCCCCACTACAACCTGAAACTCACTATTGTGCAACACAAGGAAAAAATCCAAATACCAATATCTCAGAAATCACAAGTTTTGTTTGGGTTCCGGTCTCAGAAAATGAAGAAAACCCTGAAGGGAAACCAACCAGAAAGAATGTCATAAAAACATCAATCTGACTGTGTTGACCGTCGCTGCAAAGATCTCCCTTCTTGAGACACAAAGGAGCTAATCATCCAGACAGACGGCCGCCACTAGGTGGCAGTGTTGTAGGTCTATTTGCTCCCCAGTGACATCACCAGCACCACTCAAACAGCAGCCTCACAGGAAGAAACATGCAAAACCATCAATTGTGGCTTGAGTCTTGAATATTTCAGATTCAGACTGTATGGAAGGAATGTAAAGGACCCCCGTCTTCCTCGCTCCCTGAGCCCTACATTTTCCGGTCTGATTTTCCTTTCAGACAGAGCCGAACAAAAAACCACCACATAGGGCTGAAAGGGGGGGGGGGAATAATCATAGAATCACAACAAAAGCCTCAGTTAAAAAAAAACAAAAAAACAGCCTATTAGTTAATCTGCTATTCCAAACAAGTGAACATTCAAAAAATGGAAAGAGTAATTATTCTAACAGCTGATTTAGTGCAGAGATCAAACGCAGAGGGGGTTTGATCCGTGTGCTTTCAACATCACTTAGAAAGACGCCTGCTTCATTTTCATTCACATCTTTTAGCCTGAGAGCGGGCAGCAGCCGCTCGCCGAGCAGAGACAGGAAGGAGATGAGAACATGAGGAGCGGGCGGGGAGCTGAAAGTGGGACATGCTGATGAAGGCTGCATCCTAAGCCAAACTCGCCTCATTGTTTATGCTGAATAAAGACAAAGCTTGCACATTTTTTTTTTTTTTTTTTTACTGCTGGCTTTTGGGCTTTTTTGGGGGGATGGGGATGGGGTAGTAGCTCAAACTCCCATGTAGGCTACAGCAGTAACGCCCTCTAATCCGTCCTCCTTCCTCTTCTGGACTAATCCTTCCAGGAAACACAGGTGCCCCCCCCACCTCCCCCCTCCTCCCCGCTGAAGGAAAAACATACCAAGATGCTGTTCTTGATAAACCTCATGGATACCTCAAAGCTGTGTGAGGGGAGAACTACCTTGGCGTTCCTCACATTCCAGTAACGTACAGTAAGTAAATGTGACCTCTTTCTAAACTTCTGCAGTTATTTCCTCTAAGCGGCGCAGCACGTCATCGTCTACACCTCCGTTTGTCAGACAGGTGGACGCAGAGCAATGCAGCCCAACGAGTAGAGGCATTTCCTACTCTTACAGGAAAACAATGGTACGCCTTGTGTTCCCTGTTTGTGGCCCAAAAACACACACAGACACACACACACACACTCCATTTTCCACCTATTATATTCAGAGGGAGAGGGTGCAGTGTCGGCTCAGTGCCAGCCTGTTGAGTGGCAAAGCATTCAGAGGGTAGGGAGGGGGCGGGGAGGGGAGGGGGGGACGGGGTCAAGGAAGTCGTGATGTGTTTCCTGCACTGATTTAGTTTATTGAGACTGAGGAGGAAAAGCCACAGCTTAAGGATGCAGAGAAAACAAATACAGCAGCTTAAAACCCTGAAAAGATACCGGTGAACAAAAAGTGTGAAGAGCGTCGCTTGTTTGGTTTCAAAGTCACAAAGAATTTCCTCTCAAAACAAGTTTTACTTGTAAATTAAAAAAAGGCTCATTCACCATTTTCTAGTGAAGTTGTCCTTCTCGATTTCTCTTTGCCAAAATGTCTGATGAAGGACGAGGGCCTGAAACGTTACATGTGATATTCCATTAAATTCTACTTGAGCAGCTTCTGGTGTGCAGACTTTTTATGTCTGAATAAATCGAGGAATATCAGGGTTTACTATCCAATCTTTTTTAGCCTTTACCTTAACCCTCGCAGGTAAAACCTGTTCAACATAAACTAAGGGCTAAAACTGTAACTACTCATTAAATATCTGGTATTCTCCCTCTGGCTGAAGTCGCTCGATTCCAAAATATTCTCAAAGAAAACTCGAAGT